AACGAACGTCTCACAATATTCTCTCTCCGCAGTTCAATTACACACACTGTCCCGTCACGTTGTGACCGTCTTATATATACCACACTATCCCCAATCTAGTAGTCTCCCGACAATTCACGAAGGTTCGAGAAGGACATGGCGTGATACTAGTCACGTGACCTCGCTGACGCAACACTTTGTTGGTAGAGTAGGTATTTTCTGAAGAACAACATAGGAACTAGAATGAAGTCAATTTAACGTTTTTCGAACCGAGTGTTATGTAAAAGTACATGGATTTAGAATAAACAAAACAATTTAAAAAGTCTACATTCAAATAAGCAGGTAGAAAATGAATATTATGCTTGCATATTCAGTTGAGCATTGTCACTGGAAATAGTGGCACTGTTCAAAGGACCATTCTTTCCCCTTAAAAAATGGTAACATTACACAAACTTGAAATCAATCAAAAAGTTTATAAATTCATCACACTCTTGGAATGACATTCGCTTTCTTTCGGTTGTCAAGTTGTGAAGGTTGTGTATTCGTCTACTTGTAATAAAGCAATATCAACATTTCATTTTTTTCATTTAACTAGAAATAATTCTAATAATGACGCAAGACTTCAATTGATAGTGTTCTTGAGTAACCACTAGTATCAAACTCCAATCTTTGATTCATACGGCTATCAGAACTTCACATAAGTTGCGTCATCAAAGAAAAATAGCTTGTTTTGGTTAATATGTGGCGATGAAAGAGGCGTAAACTTGAAATGTTATAAACAGACCTGAATTGCAATATTTAAAGTGAACGTTCTCCTCAGTTTCTGAACTGATAGTTAACAGTACGGTAGATATTGTTGATTTTAATTTCATATAAGTTACTACTTTATTTACATCAAACATTAAATATTAACTTTAATAGTATAGACTTGGTGCTTTTAGAAAATAAATGTTAATAGAAACGATTTTAGAACTACGTCAGCATATTAACGTTTAAAATTTAGCATCCGGGTTGGAATATCCCAAAGTGAGACCACAACAGGTACTATAGTATATATATAATACAAATATTAATAGGTGTAGTGCGAGTTCGCTATGTTTATCGCCAAATTTCTGAAAAAGATGTTTAAACTTTAATGTAAACAATGTTCGAATAGGATGTTGGTGAAGGCTTACGAAATATTTTCAGTGATTTCAAAGTGAAAGAAAAGAAGCTATGATTAATGTACTTTGAAAGTTAGAAAACTTTTTCTAGTCAATTTTTTGTTTTGAATCAGCTTGTTTTCAGCTTTCAAGATTCATAAATGCCATTGCGAAACATCTTGCACTCAAAGAAGGCAAACAAACGATAACGTAACACTGTTATTAACAAACGAAAAGTAAGGAATGAGATTTCAGTAACTGTTACGTTTAAATTTGCTTAAATTTAATATTCCTGTTTATTTATTTATTTATACTAAACAAGTTTCTAATATTGTAATATAGTATATACGGAGTCTTAGGCCAGTGGGTAAGTTTTTTGCTTTTAATTTTACATTAAAATTATAATAATGTCTAAAAGTAAAACTTAGTTTATGATTGTTTACATAACTTGCTGAGATTATAAAAGCTAGGCTTATGAATGAGATTACTGTAAAATTTACACTAAAGCCAGAATTAATCTCTTATTTATCAGAGCTAGAAAAGTGAATTGGTAAACAATGTGTTCTCTCAAGGTTTTGAGCAAGGAAACATCATTGAGAAATACTTATTGAGATTCAAGTACGTGCTATGGATGTAACCAACACTTTCTGATAATGTTTAAAAATGACCATACAGTACTCCTTTGTGATAATGGTAATTCTTTTGAATCCAACTCCAACCAAAGTGAACATTATAAATATAACATAATGTTTTGGGAAACAAGGACCTATTGGTCCATCCCAGCTGCTCCATTCTCTAAAGTCTAAACTAAACTAAAATTATTAATAATGTAAGGTATAGTACATATTAATATAACATTTTTTTATTGTTTTAGCATTTAATCAAAACATAATATAAACCTAATTTAGTTAAGAGGTGGAACAATTCAGTTTAAAAATGAAAGATTAATCATTAAATTTGAAATGAAGATGATTTAGTTCATAATAAGTTTTAAAATATAGAGTTTTCCTATATGTTATAACTAAAAACTTAATGATTATGGTTTTTCAGTCATTGTTTGAGTAGTGGCCTATTATTAAAGTTTTAATTATCAAAGTAAAGTATTTATCCACATGGTACAGAATCAATATTGAAATAATTACAAACAATTATAACTAAAATTGTTGTTGGTGTTATGTTTAATTTATAAATCATCCAAGTTCAATACATGCAAAATGATTTGGTTTATTAATAATAATTACTACTATTGGTAGCACTAACTATTAAATCAAGATTATAAAAGTCTGCATATTTGCTGTTAGAAGGGAAGAAACAAAAGTTTGCATTTTAGGTTTTGTTTGAACAGTTTGATAGTATGCCATAATCATTATTAACTGAATTGGAAATATAGCTCTTTTTACAGAATATATTGAGAAACAACTATGAGATGATAGATAACAAGATCTAAAAACAAAAAATTCTTGTTTGTAATTCAAACCACTATTAAAAATGTAGAAGTACTCATTATTTTATTTATTAATTTGTCAGTTTTTAGTTTAATTCTTTTCGTAGCCCAAAATTCATAAATTTCTGTGTTTGTTTACATTTAACCTTCTTAGATGAAGATGAATTAAAAGTTTAATTGTCTTGTAAGAATTAGAAAGTAATGTTTTTTCACTGTGAACAGTGATTGTTCTTGTAGTTTTCATGTGCAAACATTTTACCTGTTCTCTGCAATCAGAGTGAATATATCTTAAAATGAATTTATCTTTATAATCACAGAAAAGGGTTAATTATATACAAAAACAAAACAAAAAATAAGCTGATGATTACTACTACTATGTAACTGTAGAATCATAAGATGAGGTTCATAAAGTTCAGTAATGATTATCTTAAGCAACTTGTTTCTGTTCAGCTCAGCATGTGAAAGTATTCTATGTATTTGTAAGTGCCTCATATTATACTTTCATATTTGTTATAATTTATGAAAATATCACAAATAGTTATTTTCTTTACAGTGGAAAGCATTCCAAGTGGTTATGTATGTATCACAGTTTTAGTGACTTATTTTTTGGTAGAATGTTAACATAACATTTTGGGACAACATGGGACCTATTGGTCCATCTCAGGTGTTCCATCCTCTAAACTAAAATAATTAAAAAACAAATATTAAAGCCAGCCCTTATCTTATCAAACTTTTTCTTAAACTCACTTAAATTTACTGTCTCTACAACATCAAATGGCAACCCATTCCAAAGGCCAACCATCCTATTAGAAAAATGAAACTGTCTTAGCTGAAGATGACTCCTACCCTGCCAAAATTTAAATTTGTGTCCCCTAGTCCTACTATTGTCACTATTAAATATGAAAAAAGATGATGCATCAGCACTATCAATTCCCTTTACAATCTTAAACACCTCAATAAGATCCCACCTAACTCTTCTTTTTTTGAAGAGAAAACAATTTGAGAGATTTCAGCCTCTCTTCATATGACAAACCCTCCATACCAGGCACCATTCTA